TAATGTTAAATAAAGAAAATTAAACATGCACTTAAACATAAATAGGGCTTGCAAATGAGATTCGCTTTAAAATCTCTTGCGTTTTCTATTATGTAATAGGTGCATAAATAATCATTACATTATCTGACTGGTTTTAAAATAAGCTTATCAGTCCAATAATTCAGAATCAATATGCTATTCTTGGGAAATTTGATTACACACGGTTTTATTCGTGTTAAAGTTTGTTCGAATCTTGCCTTTAAAACGACTAAACTCCTTAAGGAATGTGTGTGTAACTTTGTTATGTGTGTTACTTTCTGATGCTATTAATAAATACATCATTAATCACAGTAAAATTTGAATTCAAGTACATCGATAATGCCTTATAGTGTATCTAAATTTGGCTATAGTATATTATCCTAAAATCTCTCTTTGTCTGATATATTAGGTCGTCAAGAATTTAATGTCGCTTTTTTTAGATGAAAAATCCCGAACAACTTATACATCAAAACAAAACATTTATCAAAAGTAATGGTCTCCATTCTTATCGATGATGCTTTTCCATCTTACAATCAGGTTGTTAATGCCATGATTAAAGAAATCATTGGCTTTCAAGCAAAAAACATGTTGATGTCCTCTTTAACACTTCCACATTTGCATATGTTTTCCCATTAAGATGGTGCTGCAGCGATTGAAAAATATGATAATCTGATGATGCCATATCTGGAGAATATGGTGGGTAGGGAAAAACTTCCCAACCTATCTCCATAATCTTGTGTTGCTTCGAACGCGCCACATGTGAATGTGCATTGTCGTGGAGAAAAATAACACCTTTCCAATTGACGAGTGAAGGGTGTTTCTGATGAAGAGCTTGAGTTAAACGTTCCAGTTGCTGACTATAGATCTCTGCATTGACAGTTTACTGTGAACTGAGGAGTTCGAAATGAATTACTCCTTTGATGTCCCACCAAATGGAAAGCATCACTATCTGCGGATGGAGACCAGGTTTTGGGGTCTAAAGTGGTTTTTGTCTAGAACTGAGTCATTATTTTTGGCATTTAGTATTTGCATAGAGAATCCATTTTTCATCACTGGTGACAGTTCTGTCCAAAAATGGTTCAGGTGCATTATGCGGCAGAAAAAACAAAGCAACGTTCATATGTTGGAAATGACGATCATCAGAGAGTTTGTGAGGCACTCAGACACCTTCTTTATGGAGTTTTCCCATATTCCTTAGATGTTTATGTATTCTTTCATGAGAAACATGCAATTTCAGGGCCATTTCACGAGTGTGTTGCCTTGGGTTAGATTCAATAAGTGTCTTCACAGCATCAATATCAATTCCAACATGTTGGCCCCTACCATTGCAATTTTTAATGCTAAAGTTACATGTAAAATTTTGGTTCAAACATTCAAAACATTTCCATAAGCTTCTTTGATATTCTTTGTGGCTACAGAAGCATTGTTTCCCTTCTTGTATTCAAACAGCACTACATGCAGAATGTGTGTCTCGTCATGTGCCATCACTATAAGAGATTAGAGTACACTAAACTTTACACATTATGTAGGCTACACTAACGTAAAGTTTAAGCGGTTCGGTTAACTATTATATGTCTTTTGGGGGGTGGTTAATGAAAGTGTTCCAAAACGCGACATAAATTTCTTGATGACCTAATACTATATTTCATTTTTCATGGGTATTCTTTATTTATTATTATAAAAGTGGCTAAAATGTAAACATTAGAAACTTTTTTAGGTTAGATAAGAATAGATTATGTAAAACATATAATAACAATAACACATTTTCACACAATAAGTTCACATGAAGCCCATGTGTTATGTTATTTGATAAAGTAACATAAGCCACACGTTCACCAAGTTAGTTAGACTGTTCAAAGAGCAATAAAATAATAAAATTTCAGTAGAAACTGACATATACTGTTACGAGTTTAAAGCTATTTATGAATAACAAATGTAGTTTCATGTCAATCTGAAGTCATTCTAAAAAGAAAAAAATGGTAATTTAGATTTGTTTTAGTTTTTATTTGGTTGACCAACCTTGTATACAGTTATGATAAAGAAAATAACAGATAAAACACAAAGTTTTATTGGAAGAAAATTAAAAAAAACGTTTGAAATTTATTTAGGAGGTTTTCGAGATTACATAAATGAAACTTGAGATGTTTTACATGAAGAAAATTATTTTTAACCTTACCATGAAAATCACTCTGCACTCAACACTTTGACTTCATATATTCATGGAGAAATTTTTAGTGAAAATACTTTATTAAAAATTTGAATTTTTGTCTATAAAAGACTCTTAACTCTGTCAGCTGAGCCTATCAGTCCCTAGGACTGACCTCATAACCATTTTGTGCTTGTTATAGTTTTCATGCTATAACTTTTAAGTTAGTAAACGTATGTTAATGAAATTTGGCAGATTATCAGTAAACACTACAATGCTTTTGTATCCAAAATATAAAGTTTTTTCTATTAAGTTTTAAGATTTGTAAAGCAATGTTTTTCTCATGCTTTTTTTTTTCATTTCGAATGTTGACTACCAACATGCAAGGTAATTATCATTTTAAGATTAAAAATACTTTTATGCATCAGAAAATTTTCAAAGTTCACATGTGAAATCTATAATGTCCAGAGAGTTAAGAAATGTTTCTTAAGAAAAACTTTATATTTTATCTATTATTTTCAGTAACGAATCTCTGTACAGATTCGATAGATTTGACCGATTTCATAACAACCATAAAAAAATAGGAAATTAATATAATTTATGCCTTTTTCATTCTAGAATGACAACAAACTATAACACAAAAATATAAATGTTTAGACTAAATAGCTTAAATCTCATAACATTGTACATTTATATATATATTTGTTATTTTATTATATTGACTTTCCAGCCATGCTTGGTTAGCAATACAGAAGTTACAATGACGTGGCACATGTGCACTCATGTTACCATATCCAATAATATAAAACAGACCTTTAGTCTTTACAAAGTGACCTATTTTAGTAG